GGTTAAATCCTTTCTCTTTGCTGCCCCCCCCCTTCTGAATGCCACCAGCTGGTGGGAAACCATCCATCAGTCATAGGTCTGCTATGATTGGTGGATGTTTTTAATTGATGGCTAGGCTGCTACCTCCTGGAGCCCACTGGACAACTGATCAGCAGGGTGGGAGTAAGATCTGCCTCGTGAAACAGTAGATGCTCTACAATTTTTCTGTGGAAACTCCCCCTATCAATCAGCTCTACTGATTTATCTCTGACCTGCTGTCCAGCACTGAAAACAAGCCTGCGGAACAGCTGATTGGCAGGATGAAGGGCTTTCTGGTATAGCAGTAGTGTTTCTCCTGTTTTACTAGATAGTCCGCCCACCCCACTAATCAGCTGTCTGTCAGGCTTGTTTTGAGAGAAGTTTAGCAAAGGGGGCACCAGCCCAGGTGACCAGGAGGCGATGGTCTTATTGCACTCCTGTGGGTCATTGGACTCTGCTGCTGCCTGTATGGAAGAGAAGCACAGACTGTCTTCATCCTGAAACTGCTCCTGGTTCTGTTGGCTTAAGAGGGAAACACTGCTTTAACACTAGTATGCCTAATCCACCACTAAATCTGTCCCACAGATGGGCTGAGAATGAAATGATGCAAACATGACAGAATAAGACTGATTGATGATGTATGGATTTGGGGACTAAAGAGGGTCAAAAGGGAAGGGGAAGGGAATTACAAAGTAAGGGGAGGGAGAAAAAAAGAGTGAGAGGAAAGAGTAAGATGGTAACTATTTGATAGAAGGGCAGAAGTCATAATTCTGTGTATTCTTTTTTTCCTTTTCCTTTCCTTTGATTCTTTATACTTTTATTGTATTTTAAAATCCAAATAAATAAATAAATGGATGGATGGATGGATGGATGGATGGATGGATGGATGGATGGATGGATGGATGGAACGAACAGACAGACAGAATAAAAGTATTACCAAAGGTAATGCATAATGTTATTAGTTAGATGCTGTCAAGGAGAGATCAGCTCCTAATGACTCTATGGAGAAATGAACCTGGCCTGTCTTTAGTAATAATCTGTAATACTTCATTCCCAGTAATCTTTTAAATCCTGCCCATCCATCTTATCAGTTGTCTTCTTCTTCCCCTACTTTCCCCCAATGAGGCAAAAGATAATAAAGTAGGTTAGTTTATGCTTGCTGATCACTGCCTCAAAAAAGCTGTTTTGGATTGGTTCTTCTTGCAGTTTAGGGTACTCTTAGTAACCGTTTCCATATCCATAATTCAAAGGCTTCTATCTTCTTTTGCTCACTCTTTTTCAGTGTTCAGCTTTCATAGCTGTGTATTACCACTGAAAAGGGTATTACTTTAACTATTTGTCTCTTTGTTATAACTGAAATGTCCTTATTGTTCATCTTGTTCATCTTGTGTAAGTTTGTCACTGCCTTCTTCCCTAGGATTAATCTTCTTACTTTTCAGCACACTGTCCGTTCTATCTTTTATTGAGCTCATGAAAATGAAATTATATACCACCATCACCTCTTCATCATCATGAATTTGCTAAGCATGTTGGTTAACATAGTTTTTTCACTTTCTAATTCTATTTTATAAAAAATAGTTTTCATGCTTTCTTTTAAGACTTTTTTTTACTGTTATAAGTAAAGTCATGTCATCTGCATATCTCAAAATGTTAGTGTTTTGACCTCCAGTTTTGATTTCAGCTGTCATCTCTTCCTATCTTGCATAACAAAAATGCAGTACTAGTAAATATTTATTCACTAGAGAAGAAACCCATTGAAGTCACTCACTGGGTTATTTCTGAGTAATATGTAGATTTCACTCTGCCTTTCATCCTGAAAAATGATAAGTATGAATCCATATTTCAAGGAAGATTACAGAGAATTGAAATGACAAAGCTAAAAGAGTCCAAGAAAATAAATTTTAATAGCAACCAAACAAGGGAGCCATCACCCCTGCCACTTCTGTTTGATGTATCCCAGCCTGGGTTACCGAAACAGTATTCTTAAAGAGTAGTTTGTGACTTTGCATGGCAGATGTTTCTCTGACATCGGTGGATGGTATTTTTCTTATTGTTGGCTATGTGATGTTGTTTTTAAGTGAGATACGGTAGGTAGGTAGGTAGGTAGGTAGGTAGGTAGGTAGGTAGATAGATAGATAGATAGATAGATAGATAGATAGATAGATAGATGTGTGAGTGTGTATATATATACACACACACACACACACTGTAGATATATAGAGCTATACTGTAGATATATAGAGAGATATAATATAGATATGTCATGTATGTTTGTACAGTGCTTAGCATTGCTTAATTAAATTGATTAAATACATTGAATTTAAAAATGAAGTGTTTATACATTTACATTAACCAGCAAGAGAGAGTTTACCACTGAAGCAAAGAGTCCCCTCGCTCGCAGTTTGGAAATGCGTCTGGGTGACCCAGCTTTTACCGTAACAGTGACTGCCTGGTGAGCTGCTTCTTGGTTTTCTCTATGTTGATCATTTTGATGGTACAGGGAGTACCCAGCCAGGAAAACCTTGGCAACGCAGCATGCCCCAGATGGAAAAAGAGGAACATAATGTTCAGAAATAAACATTGTTTGCTGAACCACTTTATTATTATTATAATTGTTATACAAACCTTTGGAAAGTTCCCTCTAGGGAAGTAATATTAATAGACGAGATGTACCAGCAAAGATGGCAGTTGAGGAGGAAGGTGAATGGGAGAATTGGTGAGCAAAAGGGACGAGGATCAGATTTGGACAGACTACTTGATTGCCTTATCCCAAACTTAATTATACTGCTTCCTCCGTCCTCCTTATATTCTTCTCCCCAGACTAGCTGCAAGCTAGAGATGTTCTACCAATTTGAAATTTGTGAATTTCACGATAGTGAATGAATCAACCTGTTCCTCCCAAGGCTGAGGAAGTGATTCTCAGTGTGGAGGATGCCTACAACACCCGGTAGCCTTTAAGGAACCTCACAATAAAAATTCTAATAGCTATTTGCACAATGATTTCATGAGGTTTCAGTGCTCTTGCATGAGATCTCTCAAGATCTTAAGGATATCACTAACATTTTGTAAGATTTCAGCCATTAAACCCATACCATTAAGCAAGGACACATAGTGATGTCCATCACCTGAAAAACGTGCTGATCCCTGTTGTAAGGTATACTCAATAAACTATGGAAAATCTCAGAGGAATTTACACTGCAGACACAAGCTTGTTTAATGACCGTAAGCTCCGTACTAAGAAAACCTAGGAACTGTAGTCCTCTGAGGAGTGCAGAGGGTTCTCTATTAAAGTCTATCACTCAGTTCCATAAGATGGTTATGAAATTTAATATGCTTTGCGGTCACTGAACAAATGGGAGATTTTTTTTGAAATGTTGCTTATCATAAGACATGTTAGGCTCATAGAGAAATATGATATAACTGAATGAATGATTTCACATGTTCAGAGGGACTTTCGTTTTAAACCTCACTGAAACTGTTCCAGGTAGCTCATGAATGATGCACGGTAAATTCAGGCCTAAATCCACTGTTTGTTTTCCCACAAAAACTTTCATTGCTGTTCAGCTTAAAACTCTGCCACTTCTCCTTCTTGGACTCTGTCGTCTCTTGGCTGAGAAGCTTCCCGGCTTGGTCAGTCCAGTGCTAATCAGAGGAATTCATGTGTCCACACCATTTCTGTTACATGAATGATACATGTTTGGGGATTGTCAGCCCTACTGGTTTTTCTTTCCATTTATGTTTCCTCTCCGCTGTTGAGGGTTGTTTGTTTTCAGACACTTTGTCTCCCTGCCCTCTTTAAAGCTAATTGCTTGTGTTTAACGCAGGCAACTGAAGCCCTGGACGGTCTCCACAGGGAACTAGCCACCTCCTGAGTCAAAAGCGTGCACAATAATAACAAAGCCAGGGGATGATTTTAGGACTGCTCTGCTTCAAATCTTTCATAGGAGCGAGACCTTTTGATTTCATCATATGTCATATGGCTCAGACAGGTATATGAGAGAGAGAGGGAGAGAGAGAGGAGCTGGTGTTTGTGAGCTGATGTTTTCACAGTCTTTGCTATTTCCAAATCACAAAGAGGAAGACAATCCACCACATGCATCTAATTTTGGTTATTTCCGTGTCTTATATGGATATATGCTTTACAAAGCACAAATTGATTTTGCAGCTTTGTGTTGCAGCCTGAAGAGTTTCTGTTCATGGTTCTAGGTAGCTTTGCCCTACTCCCAGGGTACTTCATTCCATTCAGCTTCCTTGTTCTCACATACCCAGATGTTCAGCATGTTGTGTCCACTGAACATCAGTCTCTTTAGAGATTTCTTCATTATTATTATTTTTAACATTTTTTAATTTCAGCAATCTTAGTGGTTCTCCTGTGAGTGGATAGTACTGTTTGGATTACACAAGAGCAGGCATTCCAAGAATATGTTGGTTATTTGTATATAGGGCATTTGCCACATTAGGTGATGGAAGCTCTCAGATAGTAGTAAAAAGGAATTGGAGCTGAAGATCCCATCCTTCCCCATTTTATATCCCCCCGATCATACCTTTACTCAGAGACATATATATTAGTTTGGAAGGTGACAAGTCCTTGAATAAAGATTGAGATACCACTTTCCATGGTCCTAGGCCAATTCAGTGTGGGGTTGTTGAAAGTCAGCACAGCAAAGTGATTATGGTGGGGTTAACAAACCTTTCAAGCAGTGGGTACCATTATGTGATTTTGCATAGATCCCCTGCAAGAACTCAAAGATCTGCTAAGTTTTAGCTCTCTTAGAAGATTTCTACCATTTTTATTTACAATAATTACTCTTTTTTTTTAAAGTAGAGTTCAGTGTGGGCCAGCCCTTGCTCTCAGGAATGCAGTTGAATATGCAGGTATGTTCCACACTGCTTATCCCCAGATTAATGTGCTGGACTAAGGTGATTAGAATTCAGGTCTCACTTGACCATAGTGCTCATTGTATGCCCAACCTCCTTTGCAGGTTATTGCAGTGTGGATGAGGGAAGACTTCAGCGTGTGCTGTTTTTGTTCCCAAAAAGAAGGTGAGACATAAAGGAAACAATACATAGATACATACATATATATACAGTGGTACCTTGGGTCACGAACTTAATTCGCTCCACGACTCTGGTCGCGACCTGAATCAAATTTTCCCATAAGGTTCAAAGTAAATACGGTTAATCTGTTCTGACCCCTATGAATTTGGTCGCCAATCGATTTTGGTCA